TTAACATGCAATTTTTTCCCCCCCTTTTGTTTTCACATTTATGGCTTTGGATAAACGTTGTTATCGACGTAAATGGTCATGTCGCCAAATCAAAGTTTAATAATTTTAACGGATGAGCTACATCTGGGCAATGCAGAAGCTTCATTAGCATGTATTAATATTTTATGGAGGAAGTAGTGCAGAAACACTGCAGAAGTAGTTGATGAATTGGCCAGCAGCTTTTTTCAGCGAAAAAAAAAAAATATTCTCGTACCTGTAGCAAATTTTGAAATGATTTGAGTTGAAATTATATTATATCCACTTTTTAATTTGTTTAAATTGGGGCATAATTTGGGACTTTTACAATCCTTTGGCATACTATCTATTTAGGTGAGTTGAAATTGAATTCAGTTTTACAAAAAAAAAAAATAAAGAATTGGTTAATCTATGATTTAAAAAGATGGCAAATGCATTTGTGCATAGGTTGAGGTTTGTTTGGATAGATTATTTTTGTCCGATTTTAAAAAATTCAGTCTTATGAATATTTCAGACCTTAAATTCTGAAACAGAAAATTAAAACAGAATAAATGTTCAAGGTTGGAACACTTTGTCTCAGAATAACATCTACCTACAAACCAGTTTTGCTCCTCTTACGTGATATTTTGGACTGTCAACAAAGACGGTTGGCTTGTCAGAGGTGTGTCACTTTGTGTTACCTCTCCGTTTGCGTCTGGGGAGACACGGCGCGGAACAAAGAGCCCGTCGTCTGAAGCCGGTGTGCCGTTACGCTCACTGAGAGTTCACCTGAAACACTGCACCCATGGCTCCAGGTAACGGGCCCTTCTGACTGATGCCCCGCTGGAATTCTTTGACTTTATCAGAGGAAGAATCTGAACTTTGTGAATGGCAATACACACAGGCGGTGACACATCCTTACCCAGTTACAAGGCTCCTCTCATAAATCACATTAATCAAACTTGTCAGACCCCAATATTTAAACGCAAGCAAGTTTTGCAACGTGTAGTCGCAAAGAAAAATCAGTTTTGTGTGCTTGTTTCATCATCCGAACACATTTACCCCAAACATGCTTTGAATATGTGCAGTGCACCTGCTGGCCTGAAAGGGTAAAGGATAAAGAAACCAGTGGAGATCAGTATCAGCAGAGTGAACCTTCTTCTTGCTTTGTGGAGACTTTTGGCAGATGGTAAATAAGAAGGAGTTTGTCTGAAACACGAGGAGTGATGTCATTCAAATAACTCCCAAAAAGAGAGCGGCCGCCCAGGGTAGACACTGATAGGTGAGCTCTCGGCCCCTTCTGTTCCACCCAGCCTTCGCCCCGAGGGCGCTGTCCTCAACATAAAGTGCTGCAGACGCCCACAGTCACACAAACACTCAGGCCTGTTAGTGCTTGAAATGGTAGTTATTACGGTGTACTTGTGAACAGTTTACAAGGAAAGGTGAGATATAATTTTATTAGCTATTGATCTGCTCATGCTGGCTTGTTGGAGATTGCAAAGCTGTGACAAACTGTAATTCCATCGACGCACTAAAGGAAACACATAGATTACTTAGTGATGCTGTAAAGTCTTTATTTCTTTAATTTGTGATTGTGGGGTTTTTTTTGCCTACAGCCAATGAAAACAAAAAATTTTATTACTGAAATATGAACTCAATAAAAAACTATGCTGCATCCTTAAAATATGTTTTATTCAAATACTATTATGTTGTGACAAATGTGTGTCATCAAATCATATTCTGATTTATTGAAAATGACTGTCGAAAAAAAATCATGTATAGTTTTCTTCAACTTTATTATTGTATGCATTTTTATGATGGTCTATTATAAAAAGTGATGCTCAATTTTTATTGTAATACAAAGGATGTAAGAGGTCTAACAGCTGTGAAAATATCCGCAAAACACTGTTGCTCTTCCTTCATGACTCGTTTGTTGTAAACTTGACGTCGTCTTTTGCTTCAGGCTGTCGCGTTACATGACTTTAAGAGCATCATGCCGTACCAGTTCCTGAATCTGTTAAACTATTTGGATTAGAAAAAACATCTGCCACACAGGAACACTACCTGTGATTTTCAGCCAAAGGTGGTAGGAATCTTCCCTCTTGTTTTAGCGACTTATAACTTCATTCATATTGCTTTTTTGTTTTTTTTTCCCCATAACATCATTAACTGATGCAGTAATTAAACATAAACTTCGCCAGAATGCTTCCAGGCAATTGTGATCTTCTGCAGTCTGCGGTAAAATCTCCAAAATGCGTCTCCCGTCTCGTCATCCGTTCTGTTTGAAAGATGCAGGAGATGCATTGTCTGACCCACAGAGGATAGAAGCGCCTAGCTTTCTGTGCCTAAAATTAGTTAATTGCTGATTAGCGATGATTACACTTGGCTGTAATTTGTTAGAATAATTCCACTCTGACAGTCTTGCCTTGGTTTGTAAACCTCTGAGCCACCAGCTGTCACAAAGCTACTTTTTCATGCATCCCAAATTAATAGACACTTGCTGACTCTGAAGTGGCCTGATGCTATTGTAACACAAGCCATGTGGCATCCGGCCAAGGCTGCAATATAAGACACAATTGTTTTGTCTTTTTGTCCCTTTTTTTTTCTCCCCTCTATCTTCCTACCCCCCTTTTTAATGCACACTAATAAGCAAGTAAATGGCAGAAAGATGTGTGTGTGAAATCATGGCAGCCTTTGTTGCAGATAATTAGGTTAGCAGCGAGAGCGTGCAGGTGCTGAGGGTGTGCTGTGTGCTTGTGGTGTGTTATCGACTTGCTCATAGGCTGTCAGGGGTGTCGCACTTCCCATCAGCCCCGAAGCTCAGCAACCTCTTCACTATTAAAATGATCACTTTCAATAGCAGACAAAAGAAAGAGGGAACATATCTAGTGCAGGGTATTTTCCCCACCTCTAATGCTTATCTGCCTTTTGATGTCGCCGTAATAAAAGGCCCATTGGGCTTCCACAATGACCTGCAAAATGGACAAGGGGCCGATATACTAGGCTCTGACTGTCGCCAGCATTAACTAAAAGGCCCAGACATTATGGAGAGCCGGGGATGAAAGTACATGGAGGAAAAAAAAAATAATAATTGAAAAATTGCCTAATGCTAAAGTGAAAGAAAATGGAACTGTGAAAAGGCACTGTAATATTCTGTTATCCCCAGTAAATGCAGCCAAACAAGAGATGCGGCGTGGCATTCTTTTTGAAATGGATGTGGTTCAATTACCTGCATGTCTAAATCTAGTTAAGGCCGCCATTGTCAGGCTTGAAACATAACAGGCAGTTTTGATGTAGTGTTAAAGCGTATTATGCCCTACAACCTACAGAAAATCATGGGAGGGATGACTCCATTCAAGATGTGGAGGGAAATTAAAGCTCATCCCGAGAAGAGGGTTAATTTAATATTTATTCAGTTCCGGACTTCTGTTTGGATCTCAGTTCTGACTGAGGGGCTCGGTGTTTAAAACAGCTGATTGGAAAGGTTACAGTTTAATAGTTAATTGGATTTTATATAGAGGCATGATTCTTTCCACATGTAACATGCTAGCATTACAAATTGACAAATGTATTGCCACTTCTACTAAAAACAGGACTTAAAATGCATTACTCTTTTAGTCCAGCACCATAATCTAACTCTAATTTGAGCGCAATTGTTTATCTCGAGAAATAATTGTTGTTAACACAATCATCATTGGCACAATTGTTGCCACTCCTGCTGTTACTGCTTTGTACAAACCTCCTTTTGTCAGTCTCTGTCTGTTCCTCTGTCTTTTGAGAAGACCGGTGCACACAGAGAGAGGAATCTTTGGCCGGTCACCATTGTACAATCTCCTAAGGTACTCCAGAATCCTAGGTCCTCCATTATACTCTCTTTTGTTTAGCTCACTTCAGAGGGATTGTGTGTGATTTAGGCTGGGAAGGCTCTGCAAGAAGGTCATATGCATTTGGCCAGTGTCCTGTTACGAATCGGTGATGACCAATTTCCCTGTTGCTGGCAAGAGTCTGTGATAATTTTAACCAGAATCCCAAGATTTAATAATACTACACACACTAAGAAGCTCTGAGGGCCTTTGGGAGAGAAAAGACCCCACAGCATCACACAGCCACCTCTATTTAAGTAAGTTTGGGGTGCTTTGGCACCCTAACCCTTTTACACTAGACTTACTTGAAGTGGAGGGATGGAAGATTATCATACTGTTACCTACCATCTGGAGAAAGACGTTATTGTGGGAAGAACTGTGATAGTAATAAACAAATATATCTACAAACTCCCAAAGTGATTTTGATTCAGACTTTTCCTTCTATTTCACTGTTTGTTCCATATGAGACTATAAATACATACAAGCATGTTTGAAAATACAAAGATGTTTGGAAAAAAAATCCAGTTTTTGTGTACTCATTTGGAGTATTGTTGCACCACTTAATGAAACTATTATACTGACAACGCCTATTTGATCATTGGTAGTTTTTATTTGTTTCTCATGTTTGAATTTGTGAGGCTTTGACTGTATGCAGGTCATATAAATTATTTTATTGCTGTTATTATAAATAATATGTTCAACTGTGGGCTCTAAATTCGCCTCTTGACGACTTTAGCCATTTAAAGTATGGCTAAATTCATCAACAGGCTAATTTCCCGTAGCTATTTCATAGCTTACAAAAACACATCTACCTTACTTAAATGTTGTTCTGTTTCTGTTTTAAAGAGTTGATAAAGGAAGGAAAATGTTTAAGTCACAGAAAAATATTTTTTAGATCCTCTAATCGACATGAAACGGTGAATATTGCCAGTAGGATCACAATGTTTATTCAACAAGCCAGCTGCTAAGCGTCATTTTAGTTCAAGGTGTTAGAGATATGGTCATAGCAGTAAAAAAAAAATAACAATTCCCATAATAATTTCTTTAGGATCATGCACATCATTGGTCTTTGTTTAAAATTCTTGCATCCTGACCGTTGTTTTCTGAATTAAAGGTGTGTTTTTTCCGCTTTCTACTCCTCAGGTAACTGTTAAAATGTACAAACGAGGCCCTCACGGCTGGCTGGGTAAATCCCTGAATGCCACCGCCATCATCCCTTCCAACACCTTTGTGATCTTCAGAGTTAGTGGTGAGGAATCTGATGCCAAAATCCCAGCGAACACTATTCACAGCATCACACTCAGCATATGACACGGTGGAGACGATCAAAGGATTAATGGAAGCTTTCTGAATGAATAACATGCGTATGCAAAAAAAGAAAACATGTTTTTTATGAATGAATGTTTCTCTATGCAGACATGGCACTTTGTTGTGTGTTGCTAACATATTCCACACGTCTTTGTGTGAGCGCACTTTGAAAAAGATCCCATTTGCAATTTTTTCTGCTTAATTCTGAGAGTGAACATGACGTTAATGAGATTTTTTGACAATTAGCCTGATTAACTTTGTCGTGTTTTAAATTTCCAGGGCCGACCCCCCCACTTTGCGCGAGCTGTTAATTAACCATTATTCCTGCCGACTGGGTCACATCAGTTTGAGCAGTGAGTGTTTAATGTGCTAATCGTGGCTGTTAAAACGGGCGGCCTCTGGCTCGATGAGGATCCGGGATGTCAGTGTTTCGTTGGGGTTTTATAGGAAGTTATTTACAGACTGTTTAGAGAAAGTAAATGTTTTTGATATCTTAATGTGCTCCACTGCTCAGAGGAGATTATACAGTTCCATGGTTTTATTTTATAGGCATGGGAGTGGGGGTGGGGGGAAATGTGATGGGGTGGCCTTAAGATAATACAGTAAAATGAACTTCCTGTGGTGATGGGATCCCCTTCAGCTAAAGCCTATCTACTGTATACTTGTGCAGATTTTTTAATGTGTTATCTGACAGAGAGTTTAAAAAGCAAAGCCACTTATTTGCATGGATTTAGTTTTGGCATTGGGCAATTGAAAGCATTAAGGTAAACCAAAGCTTTTATTAGTTACTGTATAAAAATGCTAAAATGTTCCTTTGTTTTTATCAGATGCCATTGATGGAACCATAGAATAATGCTATTCTGGACTTTTCCATGGTTGTTGCATGCTGCCAGTCAGCAGCATGCAACAACCACCACAGCTGTTGCTTTAGAGAAAGACATTTTAGCTACATTTCTAAACAAGTGCCTATTACAGACATTATTATATTTATATAGTTCAGTTCAAAGTATTCAGATTTTAGCACATGGCAGATTTTAGTTTAATCTTTACATTTTCCTAACGTATCGTTTGATTGGAAGTGATATTTTGGAGCGACCGATCCAGTCAAGTATCCCAACTTAATGTGATAGAGAATCTATGAAGAATGCTAAAAATTAGGGTGATTACAGGGAAGCCTCCGAATCTCCTGGCATGAGGTAACTGGGCAGACATCTTAGTAAAAACATGTAAAATCTTGTTAGCAATGACTACGTTATTAACATGGTGAAGCTGTGACAAAATGTCTTGTGCAAAAGCGTATTATGCCCTAAGCAAAACACAACAGCAATTACAACGGTTTTATTTATTTTATTTTTTCACAATTTTCTGTCAATACCATACCTAACTCACATCTTTAAGTGATATCAAGGCAACTTGATGAATTGATTTGTATCCCTTAAATTAAAGCCAAATAGGATCCAAGAGTTATTTTATGCACGGCGTTAGCTAAAAGGTATTTAGAGAAATGGGTAACATAATGGCAAATAAAAAAGCAGTGATTTTCATTTCATATCTTCATTTATTTGTGCTCTCTATTTGAATGCCTTTCAGTCTTCTTGAAACTTCAAGCACTTCATGGAAATGGATTGTCATTACTTTCTTTAGCTGATTTGTTTAAGCAGTATTAGGTGGGTTTTTAAGTCATTGTTTTAAATTTTGTGGTATAATAAAGGTTTTTCATTGTTTAGCAATAATGTTTTACTCTCTTTTTTTGGGTCCATGTGACTGCCACCTAGCTTCATTCTAGTGTTCTGAAGTTTTTTTTTTTGTTTGTTTTTTTTTAGTTTGGCCTCTATACGTCGACAAAACAGTTTACATTAATTTGCTTTGTATTTCAGGGAAATTAATAGATGATTTTCAGGACGGTATTTATTTGTCATCATTCCTTCATAAATAGCAACAAAGGGTAAATCTCAATGTATTTTCTTGGGATTTTTTTTGTTACAAACAGAGAAGGTTTGTAACATGTTATGTATGTTAACTTTACATACTGTAACACATATGTAAAGTTAGAGGAAATTGTGACATGGTTTTTACATGACAAAACTGATCTGAAACATGGGGTGTGCATTCATATTGAGCTCTTTTTAATCTATCTGTAAAAATAAAAAGAAAAGAAAACTAGCACAGCACCCAGAAGTGAATTAATTGCTAAACAGTCGAGCTAAAAGTGATTTGAATATCTTAGCATCAAGTTTAGTGGAAGACAAAAGGACCTAAATACAGGATAAACCTAGAATAAATCCTGCTGAATGAAGACATAAGACAGGAATCTACACATATAGCCAGAGACGCAATGAAATGGTTTAGATCCAGGTCGGTTGGGTCGAGTTTTTTTGTCATGATTAATTACCAAAAATATTGTCAGTAAAGCTGGAGGAGAGGGACCCAAAAGTCTTTCAGCTGTACGCCCAGCAAAAGGTTGTTTTACAAAGTATGGACTCAGGAGGGCTGAATATAAAATAACTATGGAGAACAATTTTTCTTTTTTATTTGTAAAACAAAAGGATATAATTCTATTCCATTGTTAAACCATATCTTATTTATTCTATAAAAAAAACAACCTCCCAATAAAATACATTGGAGTTTGTGGATGTAACATGACACATGTACTTTTGTCCTGTCAGAAATATTCAGTAGGACCTACGACAGATATGCATTAGTGAAACTACCTGTGTATACAATCATTTGTCACAACTGGGCCATAATGCTTCTTCAAAACATTATTAGGGAGACTGAGGATATCAATCAACAGCTCACTCTTTGAAAGCATGCAGCATGTCTCCAGTGTGGTTAAAAAACTGGGGATTAAGGATGGATGACTGGCCATGGGGGACAAAGAAAACCCTGTTGGGCTCTGTGGCCGTGACTGGGAGGGGAAGCTGAGCGGAAATGGACATGGGGATCAGACTAGAACAGAGTGTGACAAGGTAACAAGGTAAACTGATCCAGCCTGCACTCCCTGCAGAAGCCATCAATGAGGGTCTCTATTAAAACAGAAACCCTCTTTGGATATCAGGTTGGAGTGAAAATTCTAGTTGAATAAAATGAACTGCAACCACACTGCAGTTTTTGTTTTACCACTAAACCAGAAGTACATTGCAAGAGAGCCAGCTGATCACCTCTAACGTGAGCAATGCGTTATCAAACAAAAAAAAGCGGAACTCTGGCTTTTCAGCGTGAACCTGGAGGTTTTCCAGGTCGGGTGACCCATTTGACCCCCTGCTGGACAGAAAGGGAAAATCACTCCCAAATGACACTTGTTAGTAAACACCTGCATGAGTTCATTTAACATATAATATAGCACTCCAAAATATTTGCTTGGTAAGTACCAAGAAGAAAGTAGGCAAGCTCTTGAACATCATATCCAATTTAATTTCATTTGGTTGAGTTTGATGGTGTAGGCTGTTCCAACAGGAGAACGATCACAAACACACATCAAAAGAAAAAAAAAAAAAAAAAAAAAAAAAAAAAAAAAATTTTTTTTTTTTGTTCGGTTTCGGGGGGATCTCTTTTTTGTGGGGGGGAGGGAAACGGGCCTGGGGAGG